TATTTTTTTAGCACTTTATTAATCCCTCGGGTGTTTCCGTCGGGAAATTTAGTCTGCAGCTGCAGTACAGCACCAAAACAACCGTAAAAACACACAAATAGGTAAAATACAATCATGAGTAGCAGCAGACTGGCATAATTATAGCAAAATAAAAATCAACAATTCAAATACAAATACTCAACTTCGAATGATGTTTACAACAACACGAGTTGGCTCTGGCTACGACCTGAGGCCCCGCCCTATAACATGAGGCCCCGCCCTATAACACGAGGCCCCTCCCTACAAAACGAGGCCGCTCACTATAACACTTGGCCCCTCCCTACAACATGAGGCCCCGCCCTATAACACGAGGCCCCTCCCTAAAACACAAGGCCCCTCCCTACAACACGAGGCTCCTCCCTACAACATGAGGCTCCTCCCTCTATCTCTACCATCATACAGTAATATCCATACATCATTTTAACAATCCATCGCCTGTTAATGTCTGGGGGTCTGTTATTCAAGGATTAGGATGATTTCATTAGAGGGAAAAAAACTTGGATTATTTCTGACTGTGCTCTGGTTAAACAACTTTTTTAACGTGAGGCGACTTCACTGAAACGTTGGTTCTCAGGACGGATGCTCAGCTACCGGAAATAATAATCGATATCATAAAGGCACATTTTGCTGAAGAGAGGAAGGTTTTAACCAAACTATAAACATAACATTTAGGAAACACGGGTGAAAGCGCAGATTCTTTACTCACCGCCACATGCTTTCGCAGGTTTGACGTTAAAGTTTCCTCAGCCACAGCGACAGCGACAGCTCCGTCCGCCGGGGCACGCAATTCTTGCATGGGTTGATAAAGCTGAGATTTGGCCAAGGATTTCCCTCTCGTCTGTTCCACGGGAGTTCTGTGCTCGACAATCCTCCACCTGCTTCACCCAACGACAGGTTAAAGTCAGTCTCTCTGAGTCCACGTTATCTGGCTACATTAACGTAGTGGAGGAATCCGCGCACACACGTCCACGCGGTTTTCCTTCAATTAACGCTGCTTGTTTCAGTAACGGGTTCTTTTTCAATGTAGCGAAGTAAAAGTCTTGAGTCAAAATGTACTTAAGTCAAAGTAAAATCACATATTTCCCGAAACTACTTAAAAATGACAAATTACTCACAAAAACATGACTCGATTAAAGCGACGCGTGTAAATGCGACTCGTGACTTTCCACCTGTGGCTGCAGCACATCAGGAAACTGTCCTCTCTCGACCTGCAGACAGGGGGCAGCAAAACAAAACAAGCTCGGCAAAACATGTCTACTGGGGAATTAATGCATGGAAAACTTTCATGAGTAACTTTTAACATGTGGAAATATGTTTGGGAGGAGGTGGGGGGGGGTGATGTGGGGGGGTGATGTTCTGAGTCAGATGTCACTGAGACTGGTCTCTGAACACGAGCAAAAACTGCCCAACAACAACAACAACAGTCCCAAAGTTTTTCACTGACAAACTGTTATGTTTTGATGTGATTCGTCACAGCTGTGAATTAATCAGGATCCCAAGAAAAGAGTCTTTTAAAGGTTTTTTAAAAAAAAAATTCAAAGGATTTTTTTTTTAATCAAAAGATTTTTCGAAAAAGAAAATTCAAGATTTTTCAAAAAAAGTTTCAAAGGTTTTTTAATTTTTTTTAAAAAAAGACGATTTTTTTGGAAAAATCTTTTGAAAATTTTTTTTGAAAAATCCTTTGAATTTTTTTTTCTTGGGTCTATTTAATTATAAGCTGAATAATGAAGTGAGGAGTTACATTTGACTCTCAGTTAGAAATAATAACTTCCTATACTTCATGTCAACTCTTTGAGTCTTTATTCAGTCTTTGCTGCTGTGACAGTGAAAGCGTGCAGTACAAACACATGCTGTTGACACTGACAAATACAACAAACTGTCGGACAAACATCCGCTTTGTGGCAGCGAGTCGTCAAAAACCGAGACGGATGAAGTTACCTTTCCTTTTCCTCCTGCCTCCGTCCCTTCTGTTGGTGAAGGAAATCTCATGAATTGTTAATAATGTGTGGAGTCAGGTGTTTCAGGGGGACAGCTGGGGGGGGGGGAGGTGCTGGTCAGCCACAGTCCTCCTCTCACCATGAACAAAACTGAAAAAAACAACAAAAAGCAGGTTGTTGTCATGAATCCGTTGTGGTCGACGTCGTCTGTGGGAGTGGCTTCACACGGTCAAGTGTGTCGTGTTTACTGTGACGTTCACCTGTGCCTGTGATGGACGCCACCGTGAGGACTAAGGACAGGTAGTACAGCTCTGGAGTTGTCTGGGCCTGTGAATATACAAACACAAAGTTTTTTTTCTTTTCTGTCTAACTTTTTTATAAACGACGTTTGTTTTCTTACACACGCAGCTGCTGACAGCGTCACGATGGTCGTAGACAGTCCTTGTCCAAACGACAGCAGCCCAAACAGGTGATAAGAAGCCCACAGACCCTGAGGGACTGGTTCTAACAGGGTAAACATCACCGCAAAACCTGCGCAGCGGGGTAATTCAACAATTCAAGTTATAATTTGTGTAATTACTTGTGGGTTTCTTAAATGTTTTAATTACCTGAGGCTATGAATGACAGGGCCACAGAGGCGGACATGTTGTTCAGGAGAGGCTGCCTGCAGTATCTGGAGGATTTAGGGCTGAAAAAAAAAAAAAAAAAAAAAGGAAAATGGCATCATAACGACCAAGTTTCCACACAGATGACCTGTGATCTGGTTGCTTGTGTCCCAGTTACCTCGCCAAGACGTACAACTGGGGAAGCAGCACGACGGCCGTGAACAGGACATTCACAGTTTGGCTGCAAAAGAAAATTAAAAATTAAAAAAACACAATCAAATATGACAACGCCTGAAGAGATGAAAGAGGTTTTTCTGAGGTGGTTTAAACAGAAATAGAGAGAAAACCAAAGCAGCACTGACAATTTTAACCTCCTGCTCCTCGGTATCCATCGGCTGCTGCGATAGGCCATGAAGACCAGCGTGTAGAGAAACATGGACGCTTCAAGGCCAGCGTGGCTGTAACACTACTCCTGATGCACGGACGTGGTGTCACCTGGAGGACGGAGCTTCAGTGAAAACAGAAACCTGTAGCAGCTTCAGTTCAATTCACATTCAACATCACGACAGGATGAACACGTACGAAACAAGATTCAGATTCCACATTTTTCTCACAGTAACAGATTTATTGCTGTTTTATATCCAGTATATATAAACAATGACACATTTGATCATTTCTTTTATAGGGATCAAAGTCTTTGCAGATGTCTGTGAGCAGCGTGGTCTCAAACACGCCCACATTTATTATTTCATGTTGTTTGATTTGGAGCTCGTCTTCCTCGTGTGTCTCTCACCTTTCTTCCACATCGACACAAAATGATAAATCCCACCCACGAGCTTTAAAAACTCCTCGGCTCCCGACTCTCACCAGTCTCTCGCCATGACAGCGGAGATGACTGTGGACTACAGTGGGACGTGGGACATCATCAGCAACGTCAACTTTGATGGGTACATGATTGCACTAGGTGAGACTCCCTACTTCAATTATACTGTATACATAAAAAATATATAAAAGCTTAAAACTATAGTCATAGTATTAATGAATTTATTCTATTTGATTTCATCAGTGAGCAGATGTGAAGTTTGAAAGATGAGATAAATGTGTGATCAGATTAAAAAAAAAGAAAAAAAAGAAATGGAATTTCCCTACCTTTCAACATACAGACAACGACTATGCAACACGCAAACTTGCCAAGATGTTGAGTCCCCAGAAGGTCATTAAACAGGAAGGAGACTCTTTCACCATCAAGACCGTCACCGCATTTAGAAACTACGAGTGCTCTTTCACGATTGGACAAGAGTTCACAGAAGTGACTTCAGGAATGGACAACCGCAGCTGTCAGGTAAAACCAGCAGGAAACTGCTGCTGCGTCCACGGGTGGAAACAAACAAGTACATTTTCTGCACCAAATATAAAAGCCAGGCTGTTTGTGATTGGTCAGAGTGTGGTGACCTGGGACGACAACAAGCTGGTGTGTGTTCAAAACGGACAAAAGAAGAACAGAGGGTGGACACACTGGATCGAAGAGGACCAGCTGTTCTTGGTACGAGTCTCTCTCACCCCTGGTTCTTGAAGTCTAAAGGTCTGTCACTCATGTTCTGTGTCCCCCCCCCCCCCAGGAACTGACCTGTGAGAACCATGTCTGCAGACAAGTTTATAAAAGGAAGCCGTGACCTTTGAACTGACGTTTGGCTGCTGCTTCTTTACGATTTAAGTCCATTGTCCTAAAATATAGTTTAAACGTCCAAATGACTTTACACTTAAAAAAGTCTAAAGGTGGTTTTGGTTTTGGAGATTTGACACTGAGGACTTTTTGTTTAGTAGTGAATACTACCATGACTGAGCAGTGATGCCAAAGTGATTGATGTTAGACGAAAATATACAAGCCACTAAATGAGTCTTTAAAGAAGCAGTAAAAAGAACTCTTCTGCTGAAATAAAACTCAATGAAATCATGTTTTAAAAGTTCTGTTTCTGTGTCAATTGATCCCGTGTGTGTGTGTGTATACGTATATATTGTACAGTATATACAGTAAATGTACTGTTGGTATTAACACTGGCCCTACAGCCTAGCATTACTGCCATCTAGCGGGTAAAAGCTTGGTTACGTCACTGTTTGTCCACCATATTCCACCACGGTGACACCCACACCCACACGGAACAAAAGTGAAAAAATAACAGCCGTAATTACTGTAGTTACTCGATTAATTCTAATGAAAAACAGATGGCCTGTGTGCAATTACTACCAATAGTATTCGAACCATAGTTTGAGAACCATGGGTTTAGTTTAGACCACTATATACAGACAGAGAAAGTACAACATAGAAAACACAGAGGCCAGTGCATCCGTGTGTATTCACTTGGTCACGTGTTGCCATTAGACAAAATAAAAAACCCAGACGTAAACGTTATTTTGGTGTGAAATATGCACTTACAATGTTGAGTGTTGTTAGTAACTCCTCCGGACCACGAGGTGGCGTCACTGCACTTGTCCTATAAAAATAAGAAAAAGAAAAAAGTGTTAGCGTCAGTGCAGCGGGAGTTTGTTGTGTCGCTTAAACGTGTCCGGCGTCAACAAACAACTTCACTTACCGAGTTATTATCAAATATAGTTCCGTTTTACTCTTGATTTTTGTTTGTTTGATTTGAGTTTTCCACATCCGTTCCGTTAGTTGGTTGAATCGAGTGAAAGGAAAAAGTTTTCCACATCCGTTCCGGTAGTTGGTTGAATCGAGTGAAAGGAAAATGTCAGTCGATGAAGATGAAGAAAAGCTGGTAAGATCAGTGGATTCAGTGATTGGATTCACAGAAACACTGGACACTTTGTGTAGAATGTACTGCCGTTACAAACAAAGTACTATATTGATACAGAGAGCCCAGAAAATACTTATATAAATTATAAATTCGTAGTGAACATTGACAGATCACAACAACCAGCAGATGGCGATTGAGTAAAATCATCTCTAAATCAAAGTAAACGAAGAACTAGATTATTTTAAAACAGACATTAACATTAACAAACTTTGTTTGAAGAAACGAGTTATAGTTTTCATTACATTCTGGAAATAAACTTAACAGTAGCTATGACACATTGAACTTTTAATTCCATTTTGACAGTTATTGAGCTGTAATTATAATTAAATCCAATGTGTTCCCTTCTGTACAACATAAGAAAAACAATGTTTACAATAACTCATTAAGACATTTCTCTTGTATTTTTTGTGTCCACTGAAACAGTAAAACTGTACGTTACCACTGTCACTTACTGCTGTGAATTTCAGAGGTTAAAGGCCGCCGTGCACTTCACCGTCGGTCGTCTGTGCCAAAAGGTCGGGGAGGAGCACCACAGACCGTTCAGTCGACAGATCATAGCGGCCCTGGCTGAGACAACATTCAGACAGTGTGGTATGTTTGAATAAGTTGATACAGTTATGTGCTACTGTTCGTCAGACTGACACAGAAGTGTATCAACACAGACCACGACAGTTATAAAAGTTGACATAAATATTACCAAAAACAAATGTTAGTGTTTACCATTTCAGCATTCTGTCTTTGTTTTGTCCTCAGATATTTTTGCCAGAGACCTGGAAGCGTTTGCCAGGTGAGCCTCCGCTTTGTGACTTTGTTCTTAACAGTTTAAACTTTAATCAAAACATCTCAAATTTAAATTTAGGCACGCCAAGAGAAGCACCGTCACGGCTGACGACGTGAAGCTCATAGCTCGTCGGAGCACCGCCCTGGTGAGTTAAACCAGCGGCACACGAACAATCGTAAAAATGCATTAACGCTGGGTGAATATATTAAATGTACATGCAAGTTCTAAAGCACACAGAAAACTTTGTCATTTTTAATGTCTTTTATTTATTGTAGTTTGTCTACATACAAAATAAAAGTGAGGAACTGAACCAGGAGCAAAAGGATGCCAAAAAGAAAAGTACTGCAAAGAGGAAGATCAGAGACACTGAGGAGGACAAAGACTGAGGACAGGACACAGACGGCTGCTGCACCGTCCAACCAGTGTCCGACATTCAAATAGAGACAAACGCAGACTTAAAAAAACATGGAATACTTAACTTATTGTGAAATGCATGGCCGTGTCAGATCACACTGCATCTGTATCAAAGCTGTTTACCAATAAAAACATGGACAACATGACACTGACATGAGTCTGAATACATGTTCATACTGTGGCGGTTTTTGCGTGGTTACTTACCTACACCTCGATAAACCTTGATACTGTTAAGACTGTCAGGTATTGAACCTAATGTAAACAAAAAAAAAAAAAGCACTTGCAGGACAAAGCCGATGAGCGTCTCTGACAATCCACTGAAATCATCACAAAGACAGTTACTAGCCCACGTCATGTCTGAGAAGGCCACACACACTGGAAGTGTTGGAACTTCCATCTTCGTCCTTCAGTACACACCTCAGTCGGGGTTCAAACGGAGACCTCGACCAGCAGAGCCCAAGGTCCCTAGATATGTGAATTGAATTAGATTTGCTTTTTAATTTGACGAACTGACTCAGGTGATGTCAACTAAGCATCTATTCAAATGAACTTTATTAGAGAACTCCCTTCATTTGACATGAGTTTCAACACCTCACAAACAACAAGAGCTGCTGGGTCAAAGGTCACACCACTCCACATTCACACCAACACTCGGTCTCCCAGCGTCTTCCGTTGTCATCCACATCAAATACACACAGATTAGTTTAGTAACATGAAAGCACTCACCATACAGCATTCAGTTCAGATAATATAAGCAATACAAATATTCAACACAACATTCAACTACATATCCATAGTTCTGTACTTGTTCAACATACGTAGAGAAACAAAAAAAAAAACTTGCAGAAATAAAAAAAATATATCTTGAAGTACTAATTAAAGAAAGTCCATTTTAGGGGAGGTGCTCGTAGCATCTGCAGCTTCCACTCACACACTCAGAAAAGCAGTCAAATTGGGCTCTTTCACCGCACAACCAGTCCGTTTCACGCGTCTCTCTCCGTTCGCTCACTCATCTCTTCACTCTTCTTCACAAGCCATCCTCAACCGCACTCATCAGTTCTTAAAAATGTCAGTTGCGCAGTTCTTTCCATTTAAAAGTGGATAAAAATGAAAACACCCACCGTCTCTTAGAACATGCGGAGTGAAGCCGGTCGGTGATGACATAGCATTTACAGGTGGGAAGAGGAAGAATGATACGGATATCACGCCGAGAATGCTGCCAAAGAGGAGCTTCCTCACAGGGAAATGGAAGAGAGGTGAACTGCAGAAGAGATTTCAATGAAGGCTTTTCCACAGAACTTGACTGCAAATAAGGTTGCACTTAAAACATGTAGGTTTCAACCAGATTCTTCCCAATGCAAGATTGCTTTTCAAGTCTGTGACAATGCCATGTAAATGGTGTATCAGAAACATTCATGCATTCTCAAATGGTTATACAACATTTCACAATTCATGCATTAGAGAATCCAGTTGAAATGAGAACAAACAAACATCAAAAATAGCACTTAAGTCGGGACATCCTGGTAAACAACTCACGTCAAAACATTCTAATTTAAATCTTTAGCATTTTTCCAAATGTACAAAACATCCTCCACAAAAGTGTTTCCATATACGCCACACCAGATTTTTTTTTATCCTTTTGTTTTTTGAAAAGACTCATCTTTCTCACAATACTTACCAGACAAAAGCTTTACTTACATACCCCACCCAGATGACTTGGAATCCATATTGGAACCAAACCCTGAGCTAAACCCACTACCACTAGTCGCAGAATTGGACCCTGTTCCCCAGCTGAGACTGGCTGAACCAGTACCAAAGTTACTGTTGCCTGTACTGAAAGACTGACCCTGGTCCCTGCTAGAGCTGGTGCCACTGGAGGTGCTGCCTGACGTGGACGTGTGCTGCTGGTTTGCTAGCATCATCCCCCAACTACTGTGCAGGGCAGCCATCACGGCAGGATTCAGACTGAAGGAACTAAAATTAGCCAGGCTGTTGTTGGAGCCACTCCCTAAACCACTGCGACTGCTACCAAATGCCTGTGCCCCAAAACCATTCCCAAAGCGGGATCCTCGGTCATACTGCCTATTGCCGTGTTTTGGCTCAGCGTTTGAGATGTGAACGCTGACACCTTTGATGATCAGGTCCTCACCACAGAGGGCCTGGGCAACCTGTGAGGGCAGATAACCTAAGTCAGATCACTGGGTCACAGGGGATGGAGGGTGGGGTCACGGAACCAGGAAGGTGACTGTCTGCAGAAACAATACTGTACCTGATCATCTGCAAACGTGACAAAGGCAAAAGCACGGAACGGCTTAGGAATGAAGACGTCTGTGACTTCTCCGTACTGCAGAAAGAACTGCCTGAGGTCATCTGTGGTCATGTCTTCTGTGCAACGACCAACAAACACTTTGCGGCTTCTTAGAGGCTCGTCTGGACCCGTCTGTACACAAACAGGATTAATATTACAAGTTGTGGTGCGTGGGTGTTTATCCCCAGTACATGCAGGTATGTCTGGACATTACCATACTCACCTTTGAGTTAGGGACCTTGCAGTCACACCATCTTCCGTCAATCATGTGACGCTGCGAGATCACTTTTTCTTGAGCTTCATATTCCGTGAACCTCACAAAACCAAATCCTTTGGAGATCCCACTCTTATCACGTTTGACCTGGAAGACAAACGGATGACAGTTATTAGGTGTGGAATACAAGCAAAACAAATCTGTGTGTTTTTTAATGTAGTACCTGAACCATGATGACTTCCCCAAATGTACTAAAGTAGTCCTTCAGATCCTGCTCAGTGGTTTTCCAAGGTACACCAAGTACAATGAGATCAGATGTCTTCATGTCCCCTCTCTTCATTTTCACAGCAGATGAGGCATCAATTTCCTCCATCTTTCTTTTGTTATCTACATTTGAATAATAATAACAACATGAATAAATAATATAATAGCTTACCATGGCAACCCATGACATGCAAGCTCTCATTACAACTTTTACTTAATCAAACAGGAGATTCATTGGTTAAAAAATTATATTCACACACATATACATATATATATATAAACTTGTTGCAATAAATGGGCACATGAAGGCATAGTTTGGCGTTTGTCAGTCAACAGTCTCTTAACGGTATGGTACCAAGAAAACTATCAATGCTGAATAAAAAAATGAAAAATCACAAAATTGTAAACGACATTTGCATACACTTTTATTATTTACTTTAAAACTATATGCTGCTGGTTAATATTTTCCAGAACATGTCAGCATAATTATGACACAGATATGGCACCTGTGTTTTGATAAGAGCTACCACCTAACATGCTCGGCTTATGTGTTAGCAACTTAAAAACGAGACGCGGGGAAAGTTCCTCTTGCCTTTAAAGAGATAAGGCTATATTTAATTTTAATATAACAAGTCCTTGTAAACATCTGATATTAGGAGCCATATAACCATGAGAGAGATAACAGTTGTGTGTCTGAAATCCCCTGAAAACACGGACTATAACTTAGAATACAAATAATTTTATACGTGGAGTTTATCAGAACAATATTTACTATTTTCGGCAGCAGTACATACGCAGTGTTTCGATGAGACAAACTTACAAAAACACGCAAGACAGGTTTCGATGTGACAAACTTACAAAAACACGCAAGACAGATGAAACTTGAGCCGTAGCACTAACTACCGATAAGTGGACGAGAAAGATCTGTACTTGTTTACGTTGCGGTTTCGAAATGAACACATGATCAAACACAAATGTTTACCTTTGGGATAGTTCACCACATACACGATGTTGCCCCATCCGTTCTCTGGTGCGTGCAAGACCCCTTCCACGAGCCGTACTCCCCGCATGCACTGGGAAAGGGGGCTCCTGAACCGTAGGCCGCACGCGCCTGGAAACTGAGCTGCCACGGTGGAGAGCAGGACAGTGCCGTCATCCTCGGACGGAATCTCCATAGGCTCTTCATTTTCTTCCTCTGCCACTCGAATGTACACTTCAGCCATTTCCTCCTCAATAACTAAAACCTCCTTGTTTAATAAGTATTCTACTGAGATTAGCCGTTAGCTTGCCACTTGTCTACAAATGTAGCTAACTTAGCCAATATTGCTAATACCACTGGGAACTATTTGTGTTGTCAAGATCAGAGACGCCAAAGCGTCTGAGAAAACTGATTAAAAAACGGTTTCTTTGCCTTCGCTTGGTGTCTCCAACTGTCTCCAACAAAACTCTGTCTCCGAACTGCCGTTAAAAGCGTCTACGGGCCTTTCTAGTCCTTTGTTCGCGGGACGGTGATGCTCGACGTCAACACCGGGAAGAAAACCTTTCAAATGTGGCTACACAAAAAGTGCGCACAGCCAACGTGGTACGAACGATATCTCCAAAATAACTTGTTCCGACCAGAAATGTATGTTTCCCGAAATTACACAAAACCTTATTCTTAATCCAGAGTGACTATAATACCTCCAAAATGTATTTTGAAACACGAGGTGAAAATTTCAAAGCGCTTGACGAGGCCTACAAAGAGGGTATTATCTAAGTAAAACCGGAAATGCGTCATTATTTTGGATATTTACATTCTATCCTGGTAAATTAAATGATAACATGGGAACCAATAAATATAACTATGCTATGACATATTAAGGAACCGGTAACGTGCAATTACAATATATATAGGTGATATTGAAGGATTTTTTAATAGTAATTTTAAAAACAAAATCCTGACTGCGCCCCCACTCTGCAAGTGAGAATGGTACATCCCCGTCGGCAGCTACTGTAGAGCCAAGGTTTGTTGCCAAGTAGTAAACGACGGCCATTTCCCGGGATTCTGTTAATATTTTTGTGCAACGCCAATCGAACAGATCTTGATAACTGTAACTGACATGCGGGTCAACCCGCAGTGACTAATCGATTAGGTCAGAATTTCACGGAGACGTCGAACCCTTGGTTGTGTTTCGTGTATAATGGTCGTTTGGGAAACGTAAACAATGGACAGGGATGTGACAAAACAAATAATGGACAACACCGTTTCGTTGATAGCCAAAAGAAGACATGGAAGTAAACCGAAATAAATGGAAAAATAAAGCTAGTTCTTACTCTATGTCTAACTTATTACCATACCTGATTGTTAAGGATCAGTGGTCCTAATCATGTAGTTTAATGAAGCAAAACTAATTAAAAATTATTAGTTGCCTAAACCATCTAATTATTAATGTTCAAATGTGGCAATTATCAACATAACCATTAATTTAGGAATTAACGGCAGTGAATGTTGCAGTTATAAAAAAAAGTATATAAAAGTTTAGCCCATTCGTCCTGTTTACCTTTAAAGATAAAACATAAGGTCGACATATGGTTAATCAAACTTACCAGTTAAAAGTACTAGAAGAAAACGAATTGTTGCAGGAATATTTTTCTAAATTTCCTTTTGAGAACAGAATTAGGATTTAAGTCTTATTGACAGTTTCTCGTTTTGCAGTTTGTTTTGATATTTTTGTCATTTGTAGCACTTTAAAAAAGGTCAACAATGATAAGTGTTAAATACAGTCATTTTACTGGATCATTATTCTGTTGTTCATAAGTACACTTAAAACAACAACAGAATAATGTCAAACAGACAGAACTCAGTAACACACTAATGTCTTTTGATTGACCAACTCTTCTTTCATTGGTTCAGACAGAACCAACCTGACATTTCTCGTAATGTAAAGTGTTGTAATTCACTTGTCGGCGTACTCCAGCTTTTAGATAGGAGTCGACAACCAACAGAGATCTCAAACAGCTTTTTATTACATTTTTCAATCAATAACAGTACAATTTAGTACAGTATCTATCTTGCATCCAGCTCACCGTGGAACACCAACAGACTGAAATGAAATACAAAAAGTGAAAAGATACATAAGGGTGCAGAGCTCTATAATATTAATGGAAAGAGAAAAAGGAATCCATCTCAGTTGAATTGCATTTTCACTTGTGGCCACACACAAATACATCACATTTATTGTACACCATCGCAGAAAAAAGAAAAGTGAAAATATGTCACAACTTTAATAAAAGTGCTTTTGTATACAGTGAAATGTTGTCATTCAGATGCTCCAATTTTCAATTTAAGACCAAGGAAAAAAAATATACAAAAGTTTTTAGTATGTGAGGACATTACTGTTTTGAGTGTGAAGCTTTGAAGGAGAGAAAAGGACTCTCACAATGATTGTTATAGTTACTACAAAATTAGCATCAAGAGAACTGGTAAGCATAATTTACACTAAGTATGCAGTCAATATTAAGTCTTTCCCCATTCTTGCTCACTCTGGTGCATAGCATTACCAGTATTAGAACATGATGTATGCAGAGCTGGAGCCAAAGAACTGGCTACTATTAAGTTCAATGAATCGGCTGCTCTCCGTTTCCAAAACTAAACAAAAAGAAAAAAAAGAAAAGAAAAGAAAAGAAAAGAAAACTCTAGGATTGTTGCACCATTAAAAGCAAGTCTACAGCATGCACATCTAAATTAACTCATGGCAGACAAAATTAAATGTCTTAACTTAAAACATCAGACCATTATTTTCAGACATTGATTTGTACATTTCATTCAGAGTTGCAACTGCAGTCCCAAGCAAAGGAAGTGTCTATTTAGCCAGGTGAGGTGTTCACTCAAAGTGGATACTAAACACAATTGCCCCACCCCTGCCCAGATTATCTCTGCACCTAGCACCCCGCCACTCCCAACCCATCCCACCCAAAGGCAAAGGCATGTACAAGAATTAAGGGGTTAACTGGATAAGTTACTCATAATAACTCCTTTTGTACTGGAATGAGCATTCATAACTTATAGCATGTGCTTTGTTAGTCAACATAGCATTAGTCGAGAGGCAAAGCTTCTTCATGTGCAAAAGGCTGTGATGAAAAAAACAAAACAAAAAAAAACAAAAACAAAGACAGCTAGTATATAAATACATCATGGACATTTTGAAAGCTGCTCGTGTAATATGATCCAAGCTTTTACTTCAGCATCTTTTCGCTCATTTGATTTAACTGGATTAGAAAGACAAGCTGTAATTCAAACAAATCTAAAACCACTAAAGAAACATGGAAAAAAGAAAGCCATCGAGAATAACAAACCATCAGAATATAATTCTTTTTAAAAAAAGTTAAATAATTTGTACATTACACTCCAACATTTGCTTTCAAGACGCACACATTTGCATGGGATGATAGTGTTGTTTTTCTCTTTCATGTCTACGTAACATAAAATGGTCCAGGAAGGAATGCAGAAGTTTCTGATTTGATACCACAGGAGATCCTTTCTTAACTAGGTGACAAACAATTGTGCTCTTCTTTGTGTAGGAAAGGCATTGATTTTTTTTGTTTTTTTTTTCTCGTTTGTTTGTTTTGTTTGTTTTTGGTGTCCAAGTCAATCTAAACAGTGTTGAAGTGTTGAACATTCTGAAGTTGTAATGGTCTTCCAGTCAACTTTGGAGTTAAAAGAACATCTGGGAAACACAAACAAATTTAAATTTAGCATTTACACTAATCTAAACTGGTCTACAGTGTTGCCTATTTAAGCTCAGGTCAAACATATGGTTAAAGCTGCTTGGGTTCTTCATCATCATCATCATCATCAGATGACCTCGGGGGATAGAGGATTATTAGTGATGTCAAATTTGTACATACAACGTTGGAGTGTGATGCAGAGAATTCAACAGGAATTTACTCAAAGGTCTACTGTGTGGGACTGAGATGAACTTATTTCATCTTCCATGTTTCTCCAGGCTCCCATGTTGGATCACCATTAAGAGACATTGTTACGTAGCAGACCTCCGTTAGGGCAGAACCAATCAAACACTGTATAAAAGCCTGTTTAGAAAAATGCTAGAAGGCTGTGCATTTGCCCCGATGAAGGGGGCAACAATGTTCTGTTTCCATGCGACTTATAAAAATTAATTTGAGCTAAGAGGTATGTCAAATAAGCAGAGCAGCGAAAGGAACACGTACATTTCAATGAACCCATAATGCTCTTAAACCTGTAAGGCAACAAAAGTAGCACCATTGGCATTTCTTCTACTCCAGACAGGGGAAACATAGGGCATATCAGACCACTGCAACTACAGGTTTTGCTTGGAATAGCTTTTGAAGTATAGTGTGGGAAGATGTGAAACAATTTTTTTTTTAAAAAAGGAAGAAAAAACAAAACAAAAAAACCTTCTGGCCTCAATTCCAGATCTTCAGAAAACTGTCCCAGGATCCTGTTGCAACTGCCATTCCATCATCAGTAACTCCCAGACAGCTAACGCGGTTGTCATGTCCAGCCAACACACCTGGAAGAAGAAAACAACTTTTAACGAGCCTGTCGATCAGCTGATTAACCATGGAGGCTGTGGTGAGAGCACGCTCCCAGTTACTAACCGGCGCGGTCGGCTTTTAGTGTGTCCCACACGTTGCAGTTGAAGTCGTCGTATCCGGCCAGGAGAAGACGGCCGCTCTTGGAGAAAGCAACAGAGGTGATGCCACATATGATGTTGTCATGAGAGTACACCATTAATTCCTGATCCGCACGCAGATCAAACAGCCTGCAGGTGGCGTCATCAGAGCCTGTGGCAAAGGCATTGCCATTCGGGAAGTACTAAAAAAAAAGAAATGACAAAATGGAAGACGGTCTGTGTTAGAACATCATCAACAGAACGACTCTTATGACGATTAGGTTGCACAGATGTCTTACACAGATGGCATTGATGTCAGACTCGTGGCCAGTGAAGGTTTGTCCGCACATGCCCTCCCTCACATCCCAGAGTTTGGCAGAAGCATCACAAGCACCAGAGACAAATAACCGGGAGTCGGGGGCCAATGACAGGCTCATGACGTCCCCTGTGTGTCCAGCAAATGTGGTCGTCTGCTGGCCAGTCTCAATGTCCCAAAGTGCACTGGAACAAAGACATGATTTTAACAGCCGTTAGTTTTTATTTTCCTCTTCAGTTAAATCTTTGATTTACCGTTTTTAAAGCTAAAGTCAGAAACCAGAAATTCTCACCAAGTGGTATCTCCAGAGCTTGTAACAATCTGGTTGTCATCCAGGAATCGACAGCAGGACAGGTATCCTGATGTTACAGAGTCAATGAAAGGATGTTAACAGCTAGCTGCAGGCTAACATATTTGAAGCCGTTTGTATCTTCTTTACTGGTTTAGGTGAAAAGAAATGTAAAATAACTCTGTTATTCCTGGAGAATGGAGGTCAGAGCTGAAGAACTTCACATACCTGTGTGTCCGGCGAGCTCGCGGCTCACACGTACATTCCCCTCACGCGTTTTCAGGTTATAAATGGAGCAGATGTTGTCTAAACCACCACAGGCCACATAATTTCCTGAAGGTGCATATGCACAAGTCATGACCCAGGAAGATCGAAGTGGAATGGCATGCACCTGAAACAAAGGTCGGACATGGACGTTAGGACTTTTAGACAAGAGCACAAAAAAACAAAAAAAAGCTGAGCTGATGTGGTGGCAGAGTGGGTTAATATCGTGCCCCTGATTCAACCTTACTATATGGATATTTTTAAAGTCTATACAGCTGTTTCCACAAACGCAGCTCGTGTTCATCTGACCTACAGGTGACCCCCAGTTCACCCACCCCCTGAAGAACACAAGGACCAATTAGAACAGAGCAAAGAACAAACTGCTTCTGGGGGGAATTAGACAACATCCAGTGAAATCCTGTCTTTATCTTTTTTCACTTCCACAGACACTGCAGGTTCATTCATTCATCTTCTGCTACGACTGTGGACTGAAGCTCAGCAGTCATTGGAAAAAAAAAACAAAACATTCACGTTCACTCTTAGAATTAAATTTAATGTAAACAATTAACCAAAAGCCTGTTAATAACTTTTGGAGGTATTTGATGTTCTCTGTTCTCCTTCAATTCACACAAACAGAGTCAACTCAGAAAAACTGAACTGAACCAGTCAACCAATGATCTCCCTACTATAAGACAAGAGCACAACAACAACAACAACAACAACAACAACATCTTTTTAATAGCTTATAATAACTGTGTCCTTAGAGACGTGAGAAGTTTAATATTTTCTTGATTTACTTTTCCTACTGGGTTTGTGTCCCTGATTAGTGTTTTAAAAACACAAAAACAACAGGCTATGTTATATTTCTCCTTTTTTTTTGACATCCCCAGAAACACTTCTCCAATCGACACACACTACAACATTAATCTGATTTTTTTAGCTGTGGTAAAAAAGGGTTAAATGAAGCTGTGGGCACTGACTTGGCTGCATTTCTGACTATTCCAGTAACAGACATATCAAAGGCCAAAATGCTTCTCTCTCAGTAAATACACAACCCATCTGAATGTATTCCAAATATAGTGCACCCTAGCCTCAGCTCCACACAATAAATCTAAAAAAGGAATAATATTACAGAGCAGGGAGTAAAATGATTTGCATCTACTTTGCCCACAAATTCCCCAAGTTTGCATGTTTCTCAAACTGTTACTCCATGGATGACAAATCCATGCTCACAAAAACAGTAACTGAAAGACGTCGATTCACCCCCTGTCCAAGCTCTTCATGCATCAACAGGACTCACCTTGTTTGTGGTATAGCTGTCCCAAATAATGAGTTTCCCATCTTGGGAGGCACTGACCAGAAGCCTACAGAGAAAAAAAAAGAACAGCAATGATTACAACACGACCTTGTGAACATTATTTGGAAACGACTGCATCACTGCAGCGACTCACACTTTCCAGCTTTCACACTTTGCTCAACATCTGATGTGACATAAGAGTGGAATAACACCATACAAGTCAAATCTTTTAGAGTGCACTTTCACCTGGAATCTGTTCCCCAGTGCATGGCATAGATTTTGGCCAAATGACCCCGCAGCGTTCGTCTTGTACGCATCTGGATCCGGCCGACCGGGTCAATGTTGGCTGTGATCTGCACATAGGAAATAAAGGAGGACATTTTTAGTCAGGTTGTTTTAAAACCTAATAAAAATAACCTTTAAAAAGAGAGTTTTAATAGTAATCACTACCTGTGATAGTGTGGCATCTGCACATGCTTTCCTGGCATCCTGAAAATACAATCACATCTTTAATTCTTCTGACAATCATGTTCTAAAATGTCTCAGAGACATGCTGATTCAAACATATTTATTAACTTTTTTTTTTTCACTCACCCTGATCTGATTTTTGAGCTGCTCTGCCTCTTGGCGTAACTGGTCCAACTCACTCATTTTATTCTCCTTTTTTGATAACCTTACTCCAGCTACAGGGGCACTTGTTGATCTAAAAAACACAACAGAAAAAATACATTTTAGTTAACATTAAGCTGAGCGTCAGACTTTCATGTTGATATAATAAAGTTTAAAAGGCATTTTTAGCTAGACAATATTCAGTATTTGACATAAATACAGAACATACGTGAACTGTATGTAACACACAGTTGATTAAGTAAAGTTTCCACCTTGATGTGACATCAGAGCCCTGACAACTGCTGTTGTTAGACAAACGCAGCAAAAGGCACAATTACAAATGTTAGCCAAACATTTGAACCCTCACCCGGCACAATTACAAATGTGTTAGCCAAACATTTGAACCCTCACCCCCTGCTGTACAGTGACAGTAAAGACTACTCTTCTTCTTCTTCTTCTTCTTCTTAAGTGATACAGAAAGAATAATTCAGATATTAAATCTAAATGATGTAGTAAAACAGTTAGAACTGTGTGAAGTCCTGAGACGTATTTGTGAAGGAAAAGACATGTTGCATAAAGAGAAAAATAATATTGTATATTTAACATATGACCAGGTTTATATGGAGAGAGAGACACATCTTCTCGTTGCCTTTAGCCTCTGCCCAATACCTGATAATGAAATTGATTAGACGGCTACAACATGACATGCATTCAAAATCACAATTAAATACACACTTTGACTTGATATTCTGTTCTTATTCTGGAACACTACAGATAACATCTGATTGGCCGACCTTTTGGAACTCTGGTTTATCCTCTTACACTTGACAATATAATAATACATTTGTGTAGAGTTAATACAGTGTGTCAACCGTCACTAAAACAATTATCTGCTTGAAGAGACTCTTTTCACTGTTACATATATTTGTGTTTCAAGATTTACTGATGTGAACAATCATTGATTCTCTGTTCGCACGTTTATTTTATAACACAAAACTTTAATGGCTAAATAATTGCAAAAAATGTTTGGGTCTTCAGCATTCCTAAAATATGAATTCCTAAAATGTAACATATATTGTAGTCCTATATTATATAATACATATTTGATATTTTAGACTAATACAGGGAAGAACTGTAGTGGTTAGACTTCCTTCAAAACATCTAAAAGCATTTTTTTCTTCAAACATTCCTGTTTTGACAAAAAAAACAAACATTTAATGTTTTATACAAAACTGGAATAGTCATATTGATCTGGACAGTAAATACTCCTCATCCAGAAGTATTATCTGGTATTGACCTCCGTGGACACTCAGTTCCTCTCCTTCATCACTTCTTCTTTTCAAGCGCCTGATCAGGGTCAGCTGACTACATAATAAACAAAATGCGGTTTCAAACAGCCTGCAGTTGTAGCTCAGTGGCTTTTCTCAGGTCCCTTAAGTGCAGTCTGTGCCTCTGCTTTCAGCGGGTTTCTTAATGAGGGTGGGATACCGTACATTTTTTGCAATAGTAGATTAGTCTGATTTATTTCTTCCACTATTTGACATGTAACTGGTCAACGACATCCAACACATACATAGATGGTTAACAAACAAAACCAAATCAGTGTGTCTGAAACAAACGTTTTTGTACTTCCACTAAATTTATTACAAGTTTAATAAATGAAAATAAATCAATCAACCAATATATAATAAATGGTTAAGGACCTGCTAGTAACTAATAACTGTGCTGCGCTGATTTTTAATCACAGAAAAAGACCAAAAGGCAAGTCAGCTAGTCTGCAATGATGAAGCACTGTTTCACAAATAAAGCTGGATCATGGAAAAAAAACCATAACCAGCAATATTACAGAGCAACTCTGTAATCCTTAAAGCTGAAATCCTCTGTCAATGAGTCCATAATCCCACCCATGCCTGATAACATAAACAGCTGGCCAAAGCCATCACAGGAATTAGAAATATGTTTTCTCAAATCTAAAAGGATGACTTTAATCTTGTTACTTTCAGACACAACATGCTTAGAATAAGTGGATTGTTACAGCAGCAGTGAAATAAAACAAGTCTGCATTAATCACATTACACTGAACTCTCTCTGTGTGTTTATGTGCATGTGTATAGACAGAACACTGATAAATAAGGACCAAACACATGCAGTACCGACATTCTTAAACGCGCATATTTTATTGTGTGACTTCGGTGCATGGATTCACTCAACACTGTATCTCGTAAAGCGACAGTTTACTTAGTGACAGTGTGCGGTACAGTGATTTGCCTTCAACACGTTCGAGTTTGCATTTCATTTGAATGAGTGCGACTAAGCGGTTCTTAACCAAGATCTAAACTGGGATCACTTCAGGGGGTTACTCTGCATAGGGCCCACGCATATTTCGGGTGACATTTAACTCCGAAGAACACCAGAAAAAGTAATATTGTATGGATCTGAAGTAGCCGACGAAGTTTGATCTAATTCCTGCACTTACAGAGCGCGGGACAGGATAACGATAAAACGCCTCGTACTGATAGAAATCTGAGAAGATGCAGCTAAACGCCATCTTGCAGACCGCTGAATGCTACTTCGTTAGCTCGCTAGCAGGCTCGTCTGAGCGTATGTAGGCCGGTAGGCAGGGCACAGCTGCAGTTGAAGAAAGCAACCAAGTCAGTCACGTTCTGGGGAGGAAAAATATTTCACAATGTCTAGTGAAAGAAAAAAAAAGCCGCTCAATTTCCCCAAAGGCCGGCCCTGTAGCAGACAGTGTCCAACGCAGGAAAACGACACTACCTTGAAACACCAGTCTGCTCTTCCGCAATTTACACCGAGTGCTACAGAGTTAGCCTTTAAGCCCCGCGGCAGTTTAATCCAGAATCCATCTGAAAGCCACTTAATTTTATACGTATAATCCCGTTAAAGCAGACAGCGTTCGACTGATTCGATTACGTCGAACGAGTTTATAAGTCGCTTTTCGCTCCGTCGGCTCATTCCCGATTGTAAAAACTGCAAGGTCGGGCGGTGATGGCCTACTGTGCTGTTTGAAGTAGGCAGTAAATACACTATATGCGGGTGCAGTATTATAAGACAGATGACCAACAGTCTCCATGATCTTTACACGACTTCTAATTTACCAACAGGCAACAAACCCGATGTTGGACATTTGTTTAAGACATTCCACTGACGGGGACGTTTCGTTGCAGGGAGGCATTACACCAACAGATTAGTCCGGCTTGTAAAAAGGGTGTTAACGCGGATACAATAATTCACACTGACGCGTGTGTACGCGCTGTTTCAACGTGTGTATATGTATATAAAATTAAATAACTCACAGTTAAACAACTAAGTGACGACTGTCCCTGTGTAGTAGATGGTTAATGTTTACTATGACTGTTTACTGGACGTATTTTTTCCACCCAGCCCAACCCAGTGTGTCATCATCAAGTGACAGCCATATCTTTAATTTGAACTGTTCACATTTGTCCACGAAACCAACCTAAAACACCAGTGGCTTTGTAACCCTAACCCGTTTTTCTTCAACACACTTATCTGTGAATGAAACACCATCACAAAAAGCCAAGCATTTTAGGCCAAGACACGACTCGGCCGGGCCATCACTGACATGAAGCCTCGCTCGCAACATTCACGTCGCTTCACGATCGTGAACAGCAGTGGAAACACAGACACATTTATTGGGTGTTTAAATCTGGTTATAGACCGAATGTCTTTTTAATAATTAAGCTGCACAATTAGCACAAATACTGCACCTATTGGTGTTGGACAGTTTAGTGCAAGAAAGCCTTTTCGTAATCGCTCAATATGAAAACGCGAACTTCAGGTTAGCTCAGTACAGCTAACTAAAATCGCTAAGAAGCTAAAGGTATCGCTACCCCACCCCCGGGTACTTCAATTCCGCCACAATTAATGTTCTCATAGCACGAGAGAATACAGTGCAAGACTGAAAAAGGGAACTTGTCGGAGTTATTTAATCTTACCTGGTTCAATTTGCGCTTGTTTTTGCGTTTTGGCATTGACTGGAAATCAAGACGGTGTATCCCTCCGATCCACGCATCAACGAGCACCACTGCGCTAGCTCTCTAACTAGCCAGCTAGCCGTAGTTTTCCGAGGAGCAGCCCTTCCCGTGCGCAGGCTACAGCGAGGGAGCTTGACAACCTCCGTCAACCAACCGGATAGGGGAGGAGGGGGGGGTTCACACCCACTGGCTGTGTATGAACTCAAGACACTGCCCAGGCAAACACAAATCCTACTCTGTAATGTCGCCGAAAGTAAACAGGACACAGTTCTCTCTGCCCGCTACCAAACACAACATCTGCCCTTTCCCTGGTATCACTCTCGTCCGGCCATCGAACTGAACGAGATGGGCGCGGTGACCCTGCAGTTAGCAACGGGAAACCCCACGCTGCAGCAGCAGTGGGGAGAAAAACCATCGATTGGTATTTGGTGGATTTATCCACAGCTGCTGTTTTGGCTTCGTCATCGTTTGGAATCTCTTAATTTGGCGTGTGTGTGCATTTAATAGAGGGCAAAGAACAACACGGTGATATATCCGCTGTATTAGCCTTAAGAGCAGTGAAGTTATATCAGCCCCAGATCGCCATCTGAAGTAGGAAGTGGTGGTAATTTCATCAGAACAGAAACAACCACATCACCAAAAAACAAAACTGAGAGGCCACAAACAGTCAGAAATCATGAATGAAAATCAGAAGAGGTTCATGTTTCATAGTTGGATGTTAAAAAAAAATTAAATCTGGACCTTTTACCAAGTTGGATGTTAGAGTCGTACATTATTATCATTACAGCCCAACTCATGGGCTCCAATCAATGAGGGTTAGGGGGGAAAACTTGTGTAGTCTGAAAAAAAATTAAATCTGGACCTTTTACCACTTTTCACCCATTCCCTAAACAACAGAATACAACACATTATATATGTAGGGAGTATAAACAGTTGTTAATATTCTTAGTGATGTTTGTTAAAACCTTGTCTGTTGTCTTTGAAGTTAAGACATTTGTTCTAACAATGATTCTAGAAACGATGCTAAGCTGCTGTAGTTCAGTTCATACATACCCCCCCTAACCCTAACCCGAACCCTGACCCTAAGCCTAACCCTTACACAAGACCACGTCTCATCCTAATCCTTATCCTCACCAACTGATCCCAGTTCTAAACATTACATTCCCTAATTGCTCGTTGCAGTGGTGGAAATAACTTCATGTACTTCCCAATTTGGTTGCCCTTCCCTCATGGAAGTCACCGAGGGCCACGGCAGCACCTGTTAACAGCTCACTGCTCACTGATTACTGTTCCCTCATGAACCACATGTGATACTGAGGTCCACACAGACACACGTCAATGTCTTCCACAGTCTTTCCTGACCAGGAATAGCTGTAATCTGTCATTAATTACGACAGATTGGTGTTGAGTGTTCACTGGTAGTAACTGGTGTCCACGATGAGGAGGTCATTCACCACCAGCACCATAAAAGGTCTTGGGGCAGACATTTCTAAACTCTGGGGGGAAAGTCTGTCCTGGAGTAAAAATGTTGGGGGGACCACGTCTCCCATTCTGCAGTAACGGCTGTCACGGTTCTTGTCCTCTGTGGTGTTTGAACAACCAGCACAAGATGGTGAGTATCTACGAAACAAATACTCACCTCACACCGATGAGTACTTCTAACTTGATTTGTCCAAATGTTGTATTTTCTTTAAAATAAAATTACACATGTCCTTATGAAGTTTGCCAAGTCTTAAAACGAAATACTGTAGAAGACTTTTGGTTTCAGGCCAGCAAGTTAACACAGGAACAGATCACAGAGTACAAAGGGGTTTTTGAGATGTTTGACGAAGAAGGAAACGGCGATGTGAAGACGCTGGAGCTGGAGCGACTGATGAGTTTAATGGGAATCAATCCAACAAAAAGAGAGCTCCGTCAGATGGCCAAAGACGTGGACAAGGACGGTGAGTCATCCATCACACAGTAAATGAGAAGATTGTTTTTCTAAAGATAATTCCTGTGAAAAAAAATAACAAAAGAGCTCAAATAGGATCAGAAATGTATATTTAGGTTCATCTTATGGCACAAAGAGTTTCACTTTAAATGACACTAATAAAAGTGTCAACCTTCAAGTGTGTAAACATTTTAGAATGTATCGTGTTTGTGTTGTTCAGATGTAAAAGTTTTAGTTCGTAAACTAATTTGAATAAATATATTATATTGTAGAATATAGGAATTACTGAATCCAGATTATCAAATGAATTGGCCCATAGTAAACACTAGATGGCAGTGTTTTACCATGTATTGACTAACGGGGTTTAACTGAAGTACAGGATATAAAAAACAACTGATACTTTTTGCCGGGATTATTAAGAATAATGTATCGATTTATTTTGGAAGTCATTGAAGTCGGTGCTTTTTTAAACGTTATTTTAACAACGGTGTCTTAATTTTTGTTAAGTTTAAGTTACCCTTCAATTTAACTTTAGAGAATGTTGTTGCGCTAAAGGACTTTTATTAAAATCATTAAGTCTTATCTTGTTTGCTTTAATTCTCTTCTCGTTTCTCTGAAACGACAGTAGAACAAATGCAGACAAAGATTACTTACAAATGAAACAGATTTTGTAGTCAGTCTTTATGACGGAATAATCATAAATATATGTTTCATTATTTTTCAAAGGGATTTTTTATTGAATAATTTTGCCTTTCAGGAAACGGGGTTTTTAACTGCGACCGTTTCCTGGGTCTAATGGCTCTGTACCATGAAAGAACGAAGAACCAAGACGCTGAACTTCGAGCTGCTTTTAAAGTCTTTGATAAAGAGGCCAAGGGATACATCGACTGGAACACCCTCAAGTAAGACCCTCCTCAGTCTGAGGGGAGAACAGTTCACTGTCGTCTCTGTCACATGTTTGTTCACTTCCTCCAGGTATGTGTTGACGAATGCAGGAGAACCACTCAACGAGATAGAAGCGGAGCAGATGATGAAGGAGGCAGACAAAGATGGAGACGGAACCATTGACTATGAAGGTTTATATTGATTATTATAAATATATATATACATGTGTAAATGTCAGATATCTGCCTCATTATCTGTAAGATTATTATTATTATTATCAAATAAAAGTGTTGGTTTTTTTTTCAGAGTTTGTGGCCATGATGACTGGGAACCTGTTCAAAATGAGCTGAAGACTGAAAATAGAAACAAGTCGATATCATTATATCTGACGTCTGTGATACTTCTGTTTTTAAATCAAACCTTTCACAGTAAAAATACACTTTTCAAACCACTTCTCTCTGACTGTGTTATTGCTGTGTGAGTCGGCGGAAGACAGTGAAGGGTTAAAGTCCTCAGACCTACCACCCGGATGTAGTCATGGCTCCGACAGCATCTGCTGTGCAGGGCCATTAAATCCCGTTTTCATCCCTGCAAATCCAAATGGACAGCAGAGGGAGCCAACCACGTTCATCTGCTAAAAGACCCCTAACCAATAGCAGGGAGAGGGAGGAGGGAGTGAGCAGCATCCACAGACCAGCCTCTGTTGTGTGAAATACAGGAAAGGACAAGGTAGGACTGGAAGATCCATGAAGTCTGAGGGGGAGCAGGAAGAGGAGATCTTCAGGAGGCTGCTGAGAATGGGCTGCTTATGTGGAGGAAGCTCTTTTGACACAAACTGCCTTTTTTGTTAATGTAAACAGCCTGTGCAGTACCTGCACCGCCTGAGGGAGAGCAGAACAGAGGGAGGAGGAGGAGGAGGAGGAGAAACTGAGAGCAGCTGTCAGGGGCTCAGGATCCATTATTATCTACATGTGTTGAATATCTATTGGAA